TCAAATTTTAGCTTACATTTACACATACATGAATATAATTTTTACAATTTTGGTGTCAAACGATTCAGAATTAATTCAAATATTAAGAAAACCTAAAATTTGCATATCCGATCTTCTGACAAAAACAAATTTCTTCGGAAATTAATAAAAAACCTAAGTACAAGCTGAGCAGTTTCAAAATATTAGTTTTGAAACTTTTAAATGTTTTTTCGATCAATAAAAATAACAAATTCTCGTATTGAGTCTGTATGAATATACTTTCAGTCGATTCCACTATTTTCAATATTCATTTAATGTTAATCAGTGTAGGTATGTCTAACGGTGACTAAATGCTGGGATTTTTTTTTTAGCAAATGCAAAAGGTCAAGATAATTACCGTGTGCAGATTGAAAATAATTCGTTAATTAGTTTTTCATTAATACATTTAGCTGATATTTTTGTACAGAATGCAACATTAAAACAATTTTATAGCAAGACGTCTTAGTCTTACATCAAATATCAAAATTTGTTATTGAAGAGGTTTCCATTAATCAATAGTAGGAAACAAAATTAGAACTCTATGGTTGTCATGCGCTATAAGAATTAAGAAAAATACTAATTATGCTATTGATTTGAAGCCTGTGATTACAAGTTAACATATCATATACATCACCTCAACGATCAATATCTTGGAAAACGCTGAATAACAATAATAAAAAAGCTTCATGGAGATGTGTTACCATTTTAAAGAATTGCAAAATAAGCTCCTTGACTATAATTTTCTCTCAACATGTCAGAATATTAACACCAGAAAAGGTTTTTTTCGTATTTAAGTTTTTAGTTATCGTCATAAAATTGATTACAATGAAAAGGATAGCTTTTGTTGTTAACATGTTTCGCGCAAAATTATTATATACCTATTATTCAAATGCGTAAAAGTAGCTTTTGAAACGGTACCATCATTCGAAAAACAAAAATCAATTTTAACTCTGTTTTTAACATGATATATACATGAGAAAAAGAATTCATTAATTAAACGTTAACCTTCATAATTAGAGTAACTGATTATATCATAAAAATGAGTCATGAATAATTAACTAGAAAGCTCGACGTTTAAGACGCAAATACATTTACTGATGCTTACATATCATCAATTTTTGCTAAATCGATTTCGTAGATAATTTCTCATAAATTTTGTGCATGTTTCAAAGTAAGCAAAGATGTTTATCTTGCGAATTAATGATCATTGCAAGTTGCAATAAAAGCATAGAGTTTTAAACCAACGACACGTGGACTTTACGGATTTGAAGACGAAATTCCAAGAGACATCAAATATCTATTCAACTTACGCCTTTACAAAAAAAAAATTGAGCATTTTCGTACGAAGTTGAAAAAAATACATACTACAATTTGTAATAATTATCAATAGATTTCAACTAGGAAATACTTGAAGTTTCAATTACTTTTCTAGATCGACCTGTCAACGTGTGGTCTACATTAACCTTGTGCTACTGTCTATAAATTGATATAAATTGTTGCATTCGTGAATCACGTATAAGAAACGTGAATCATTTGAAACTATTGTATCTTTGTGAGTAAAGATCAAACAGCAATTTTCATAATTGGAAAATATAAAAGAAGAAACCATATTTATTAAGTTTATCAATGGCATTTTTAAAAATGTCATGGTTCAAACTGTTTTGTATGTCCGGGTCGTCACGTATGCCGTATCGTAAAAAAAACATTTCTGGAGGCAAACAAAATATTTGAGATAACACGAATTTTTGCTATATCATTCATATAGACAGTTGTTCATAAACTCAGGCATAAATTTCACGTTTGTTCCATAATAAGATACATTTATTATAATTATTTTTATTTATATTTAGATTTCGATAAACCACGCACGCACGTTGTGGAGTTGTAAAATTTCATGACAAAAACGAAAACAAATCAAAATTTCAAAAATACTTTATACAACATTCACATGTTCAAATGGAGAGAGCCCTCAAACTTTAACAAACCAACGACCCTAATTCCCCAATAAATCAATTCCACAACAAATTTAAAAATTCAACAAAAAATAAATCAAATCCATGAAAATCCACAAACTTGTTCGATATCGATATTTCGGGGATGAAATTTAGAACACTTTCATAATAAATCAAATTAAATTTCTGTTATAATTTATTTCTATGTATGCTTTACAACTTACTCTTGCTTTAGGTTTGAAAACGTAAAATGAAAATTATAGGAAAGTACTTTCAAACTTATTGCATCCGAAATCTCAAATCTTGTAGAAATTGAAAAAATAAAGAAGAATTTAAATAATATAAAAAACGATGGCTTAACTATAAAAATAATTGTTAGTCTACAAATAACCATCCGGAAAATATTTAAAACAAGTTTCCAAAAGAAAAATAAAATCAATACTTACTATTATTGTGGCCAAATAATTAGAAATCGTTAAAAATGTCCCAAAAATACATGCAAGTTAACGACGGTAATTCATATAATTTGTGAACCTGTAAACACGATTCAACCAGCTAAATTTTATTTTTTAAATAAATTTAATTAGCAGTCATCATGCATTGTCTAGACTCCAAATGCTCAAAATATCTGGGTCACGAATTAGCAAATTCTCTACTATTTACATATCGTAAGATAATTTAATTGCTGCGTTTTCACAATCTGTCAAATATGAAATCAAGTAGGAAACATATTGAATGAACCCAGAAAAGGAATACAACATTGGCTAAAATTGACTTCTGATCTGATTCTCTCCAATTTTTATAAACGTGGAATAATATAAAAGAACAAGCTTATCCGAGAATAAGCCTATAAATATTTAGTGTCCAATACTATTACGACTTCGTTAATTCTTCTATAAAAATAATTCTGTATGGTCATAAGAACATTGTAATTTGATAAATGAAACCTGTTCCTGATGTTCTCAGACCTTGAAATCAGTTGATCGGAACTATCGCGATGTATGGAATAAAAAGTACTTACAAATACTGGCTATAAGTAGTATATATACGTTTAGTCAATTCCGTCATGAAATAGATAAACATGCCCTACAACATTTCGTAATAGCTAAAATACATTATTGACGTTGCCTTGAAATTTATATCAATATCAAAGGTTCGTTATGTCTATAAGCACGTGCGTAACACTTTTTGTGAGATAGTTTAAACTTTGCAAGGCAAGATTTTTTAAGATATATATATATATATATATATAATATATATATATTTATATATAAATGATTGCTAATCTGCCCGAATACAGGTCCATGGTGTGAGCACCACAAATCAATAAGAGTCATCAATCATCTGTATTCTTCTTCTTCCAAGTCCTTTCAGTCGTGTAGCAGACTTTTTGCAAAACGTATCCAATCCAGTTTTCCTTCCTTCTAATGATAGTGCTAGGTAGAGTTCCTTTTCTCCTACTCTTCATTTGTTACCTTATCTGTCCACTTTATTTTCTTCATACGTCTCCAGCACCACTTTTCAACACCTTTCAGGTAGTTTTTGTCTGTCAATGGAGTCCGTGTCTCTAATATTTACAAATCTCCAGACATAACACTTTATTAGCCTCTTCTGTAAGTCGATTCTGACCTGACTCGCCAATATCTATCTTTGCTCTGAACTCTCGCGTTCAGTATTTTTCTCTGGTCAAGAGGCTTCCCAAGTATGTGATGATGATATCTACGTCTTCCAGCTCCTGATTTCCTACCATTATCTTTAGGATCCCAATTCGTTTCGACACTGTTCATCACTTTTGACTTGTCAATGTCGATCTCCATTCGAAATATATATATATATATATATATATATATAAGGTGCTAAGAGTTCTATAATCTTTTGTGATTAAATCATATTTCAATCTATATTTTGAAGTAAAACTGTATATTATATTACTTCATATCAGGCTGTCCTAGGTGGGAATTATCTACCACTATACATGGTGGTAGAAACGCCAAATTTACAGTGATGTTTGTTCTAAAAGACCAGACAATTATTCTAAATATCTTTGGATGATAGTTTAGGCAATGAACTATTACTATATTCGTTACCAAAAATCGGCCATCAGATTATTTCATCTGACAAAAACTGATCAGCACGATTCACTACTGATGCTTAGTCATTAAAGTAACTCCACCTCAAAATTCGAGATACCCAGCTGTAAGTCTGTAAATTAGAGCTGAGACAACTTAAATGACTGGACTATTTCGACATTTGAACGGATCAAAATCGGATCAGCAATTAATTTTTTTTTTCACTATTCTGATCGTTGAACAAAGATAATCAAAGCAAGTCTTTACTGAGTTTCATCAAATGACCTAAATTATTTAAATCGTTGCAGTAATTTTTCAGGTCTCGACGAAAGATCAAATATCAAAAACATTTATAACTTTTCCAATTTCGGTTGTCGAACGTTCGCAAAACAAAATTGTCATATCGGAATTTCTGGCGAAAAGCTAATTTTCTCATTTTGGAAATTAATAAATTCCTTAATAGTCATCAATATATTGGGTTGGGGAAAAAGAAATCCATTATTTTTACATGAACTTCAAGACTTTTATTTAACATGTTTTGCATTGTCCGATTTAGGTCAAATATGCACCATTTTGATCTATAATTTGTTGCCATTTTAATGGTAGCTTCGTTATGCCTCTCTCATAAAAGTCTTGGTCCTTATTAGCGAAAAACTCCAGCAATTGATTTTCACACTCTTACCTTGATGGCAATTCTTATCAGTGTGAAAATCAATTGCTAGAGTTTTTCGCTAATTAGGACCAAGACTTTTATGAGAGAGGCATAATGAAGCTACCATTAAAATGGCAACAAATTATAGAACAAAATGGTGCATATTTGACCTAAATCGGACAATGCAAAACATGTTAAATAAAGTCTTGAAGTTCACGTAAAAATAATGGATTTCTTTTTCCCCAACCCTATATATTCGTCGAATTCAAAATACGTCATGGCACAAATTATAATTATTTAAGAGCTTACCTCATGGGTATGAAGAACTTGTGTGAGATTCAGTTTGTCGACGTTGACCCAACAAGGTACAATGATGATATGCATTCGGTTGTCCTAATTTTGCTGCTGTGCCCGAAATCTGCTGTAGGATGGAAAACAAAGAAAAAATCCAAAATAACACGTTAATAACACGGCACACTAAAACATAAATTCAATGGAATACGATTTTTAGTGCACTAGTGAATGACAATAGTGTAATGAATTATTGAATACATGTTTAATGATTATGACCTTGGCCTGTTGCGAGGTTTCGATCGCCATATGAAAAGACTACGAACAAATTATGGAATACAACTTTTCATCGTTCTACTTTGTATTACATTGTTGCTAAGCAATACATGATTAATAAAAATCAATATTGTGATTGGAAATTGACGTCAAGAAACATGCACTTGCTAAACAATTTTTAATGTAATGATAGCTTTAAGTGTATATCTTAATAGCTGTTTGAATTTATCCGTGAATAGAAAATTTTTGAAAAACATGCTCTTTGGAATTTTTTTTACTTATAACTCAAGTCATTAATAAACAAATTTGCTCCTATTTGCTTGAAGTATAAAAGGAGTCATCCATAATCACGTAATCGACTTTTAAACATTTTTGGATTCTTCCCTCCCCCTTGGTGATACATGATGATTTTTAAAATTGACTTTTCTTCCCCTCTCAACATCACGGATCTCCCTCCCAAAATCACTAAAAATATTACCTAGAAAAATCGTAACATTTTTGGAAAATTCTTGAAAAAATTGATATGTTTAAATTCAGCTAAAAAATAAATACTCTTGATTTCTTATTTGAAAATCTTATAACAATCTTATAAGAATAATTACAGGAAAAGATTCCTAAATTGAAATTCGAATTTAGATATTAAAATATAGTAAATCTATTTATTTCTTCAAGTAATCTTTTACTTGACTTCAAAATTTTGCAAGTAGAAAAAGTTATGTTTTTCAATATTTTGTATTAGGATAAAATTTTCTATATCTCAGTCCGACAGAAGTGTCTGGTATGAAAATTCAACGTTCTTTGCAAAAAAATGATAAATTATGCAGTTTGTGAATCAAGAAAAAACACAAGCTTCAACATGTAAAAGTGTTACTGGCAAAATTATGAAAAGCAACATATGTGATTAAAAATAAAAATGTTTAAATATCTTTGTTTCAAATTCTATTTAATTTATTTCTAAATAATTTAATATAGTAATTGAGAATTACTCCCAAGTTGCTAGACTAATAGTTTGTGGAGAACGATTCAAGCAAAAAAATTAATGATTGATGTAAAAAAGAAAACTATTAAATACATAAAGAACATTTTCAAACATAAACTAAGTTATGAATTTATCTGTGGAATATGATGAATGAATCAAAGGCAATGGAGTATTGATATTATATAGGTTCTTACATATGATTTAAAAAAAAAAAAGGTATTTTCACTATACGAATTGCAAGATAATACCCATTCATAGCAATAAAATGGTAGTAAGATATTGATTAAATTAGAACTATTTTGTTGGACAATATATTGCCTAAAAATGTTTCATTTATTAGTTAGCGCAATAATATTTGTAAGAACCTATCTATTACCATTGTAGAATATGTATGAACATGAATATAGATGCATGAAAACATTAACAACCATTTATACACAGCAAAAGAGATGTTTGAATGCATGTGGATTTAATTTACTAGCGATGAGCAAGGACATAAAGCACTTACTTTTAAATTTCCTTCAAGCACAATGTCTTCTCGTGGAGATATCTGAGATCTAATGCCCCATTCACGGAATAAAGCTCTTGTTATAATATTCAGGTTATATTTTCTGTTATAACGCTCTCGTGGTGTAAAGAAGGTCATATTCAAGTTACCTTTGTCATGGTAAACAGTACCTCCACCACTATTTCTGCGAGCAATTTTGATATCCCTGGCTTCTGCAGCGCTAACATCAGCTTCTTTCCATGGGTTCTGATGGCGTCCAATAACCACACAAGGGTCATTTAGCCACAGCATCATTATATGATGATTTGTGAGATCATAGTTGCGATAAATCCAATCTTCCATAGCCAAATTTGTGAAAATGTCATTAGACTGTGAAATGAATACAGATTTTTGGATGTCTGCTTCTTTCACATCCTTAACATTAGATTTGGTTGAGTATGAATTCCACATCAACGGTGCAACTGCTTTGCCTTTTTGAATATTCACCAAAGCAGCTCCGAAACGACAACCGGCAAGCAGAGCACAAGACATGTTTGCAATTTTATGCTCGTAACTTTATTTTAAATTATGTATGAAACTTATAACACTTATATAATAAATGTTTCTAATTCTAAAACAACTAGTATGACTACTTAATGATGCATGCAGTTCTCGCAGGATTCTTGTAGATCAGATGCTGAAGAAACCAGGGATATCAAGTATTCGTGAAGGGCAATGGTCTGATGCAACCACTTCCAAGTCTGATGCAAAGAATTAGTGCGGTACCTTATGCCCAAGCAATCGCGGCAAATTTTTGGCATGCCTCTTTGTGCCGACAGGTTGACAGAAAAAATAACTCCTAAGGAATAAACTGTAAACGGGATCTAGAAGTAGATGTCGTACAATTCTATATAGTGCGCGTGCGTTTTTCCACTCACTACCGAAATTCTATAATTAGACTAGCAACGATCACACACGGCAATGAAATATTAAACAACGTCAAGTTCGCTGTCTGCAAACAGTTTTGTTCAATAATGAGATAAAAAAGGAGGAGGAGCTTACATATTATCATGTACAGTCGATCGAAAAGTAAAAACACTTACAGATGTTAATGCCCGTATTCCGTGCTGCTACGTTCATTTATTAACAAATATTTATATAAATAACTAAAATGTTAGTTCATGTAATTCACAACTTTGCTTTAATTATTTGGACGTCTTTGACAGTTAGAAAAATTATAAGGCGAACTTGTCCACAGGGGGTGAAAGCAGGCGTGCTGTAAGGGACTATCACACAGAGTCAAAATGAAAATATTGCAGAAGATAAACATCCATAGATAAAAAATCATTGTGAAAAAAAATCACATATATTTGTCTACAATATCAGTAGAATAGTAGTTAATTATTAATTAAATGACATGATTGCATTTATATACATGGACATTATTTTAAAACTTAATGAAGCTGAAAGCTATTAGTTAAATTGACCTCTTATATAATATACATAATATATAATGATAAACATAGTAGTAAATATTATTAAAAGAGATTATTATGCAATCTTATAAACATTAATAAATTATATTAACTACAGCATTGGCATGATTTTGTAATGACTGAAACATAATATGAAAATTTACATTTACCTTGTTTTGCTAATTAAATGTTTGATAATTTTCGTGAATCCTCCAAAATCAATAAAAAAAGGTTCAGCAAATCTACATACAACAAATTAAAATATGCTAATAAATATGTAACCAAATAATAAATAATAACCATATACCAGAGTGACATCTGTCGTAAGTAACCCGAACTGTTGATGATCTGAAGTTGGCAACGCTTACTGCGTCTCACTTGACGTTAACAAAAAAAAGAACATAGCTAGGCCGAGCCGAACGATTCATAGTACAATATTAATTTACAAATTTGACATAAGTGTTTTGTTTAGTAAAAAATGGCATCAACTGCCCCAAAAACTTTCAGAACAGTGAATTCAGTAAAAGGTATTAGTTTTTTCTTATCGGCTATTGCAGTAAACTTTCAGTAGCATATTATATATATATGTCGCTCTTGTTACATAATGTCACTCAGTTTGTTTAAGTAATTAATATATTATTGTTTCAGATAAAATAAAGAAATGGGCGTATATGCATCTGGATTTAATCAATATGGTGAGTGTCTTAATTACATTTTGTACATGTTTTGCCATACATATTTTTTCTTTGTACATAACCTTTATTTTGATAGTTATTATGGCCGATGTCTTTCCCAAGTTGACATCAATTCTTGAAATATTTTTTTTTCACATTCGCTATTGAATAGCTATTGATTTTTTGTTATAAGTGTGCGCTTTATTATTCTGATATCTGAAATTCACATTTAAACAATTCAAGTTCTTTCTTACAAATAACTTCTTATTATTGATTCAAATCTTGTCGTCTATTATATTAGTGTGATAAATTTTATGAATGTTGTCACTATCAAATATATGTGGATGTTTCTGCTAAGTGATATTTTATGTAAATGGTGTATTTTTTGTGTAAGTTTAAATTCACAGACTTCTCAAAACGTAAAATATTTAAACTAAGTGTAACAATTAAATTAGAAGTCACAACTATAATTTTATTGTATGGTTTTTATGGAGTTTATATATATTTTACCATTATTTATTGCTCCTCCGGTTGAAGTAAATCTTTGGATATAGATATTACAAATTAACTTTATAAGAGAATGAGTGAAATCAGTTTCAAGTCATACACAACTTCCAATATAAAAATTCAAACATTATTTTAGGACTTCACTTAGATGATGTCCGTCATGAAGATGCTGATGTAACTGAAGCTTACGCAGATTGCCCCAAAACATTGTTGATGAGAGAATTTCCGTTTGGTGCGCGCCATGCAATTGTCTATGAATAAATCACTTTACCAAAAGAACAATGGATCAAATGGGAAGAAGATTGGAGATATTTGACCCCTGTTCTGAGCAAGTAAAAAAAGAAAAATTAGAGAAAGATGAATGGAACAAAAAGTAAATCAAGTGTATGAATTGTCTTAGAACTAGTAAAATTTGAAAATTGTTGATGTGTACTATAATAAATAAATAGAAAAATTATAGTATAGTAATTTTTTATAATATAACCTAAGGTTAACTAAATAAGAGAGACAAATGATTTGGTGTAATGTAAAAATTGAGTACTTTACTACCTGCATTGATGAATGTTATCACTCTTGTCTTGTTTGCAGTTCCTATTTATTTCTCAAAGCTCTCTTTGTATTTTTCTATTCTGCGCTTTAGTTAATTTCTAGTGTATTCTTTTTTGAGTAATTTTTTACTATTTGTTGTCTTTCTTTGGAATGTTCTTTCTATCCTTTTCATTTGATGCTGTTACGCAATAAACATTTTTTCCCAACATAATTTTGATCCAGTTTACTTTTTAAATTCGTATTCTGTAGAATTCTTCTGTGTTACTTCAATTTCTAATATAGTCATCAGTGAATTAGTTTTCCATCGTAGTATGAGTTTACAGATTAAATGTGCAAGTACATTTGTAAATATTTTTAATGTTATGATTAATTTTTGTTTATCACTTCACACATACATACATCATAGAAAAATAATGTTGAGAAATATGCTTTATAGATGTTTTGCTGGCATTTTGCTAATTTGGCATAATGCTCCAATGTCGAATACATAATTCATAAATTTTCTTTGAATTCAAGATCTTTCTTTGGTATCATTTTGATATTTAACCCTATTTAGATGAATTTCAACTTAGCTTTCACTATTTTGTGTATAGAGTATACTCCGATGTATTAGTTTAATTTGTTCTGTAACCAAGCTTGTATCACGAAGCAATTTTTTCTATATAATCTGATAAATATATTGAAATGCCATTAATTCGTACCAGCCCTGCGATATTTGGTAAGTTTTTTGATTAATAAAAATAAAATTGCTATTTATTAATTTATTTAATGTTTTTTCCTCTTCATTCATGATATTTCAGAAATGCGTGAGATGTTTTGTTGAACAACAAAGACGTTAATCTACAATCTTTTATAGCTCAGAAAGTTGCTTATAAATGTTGTAAGGCCCCCTTAGCTGGTGTTATACCCTTTATAACACCTTCTGTTTTTACATAGCACATTTCTATAAACATATTTCACTCGCATGATACATGTTTTCAATAATTTTTATGCTTTAATTCAAAAGCTATGGCACTTTTCCTTCAATTGAACGGTTATAAAAGTAAATCATATTTTATAAATGTAGAAAAAGTAGAAAACGTGATCTCAACGTATACATATACATATAAACTGTAGAATAACCATTAATTCCTTGATATTTTCGCGTGGTAAATAGTTACTACACAATATTATAATATATAATAAAATGACTAACTATAAAACAATTTACTAAGGTTTATGTGGTAGGAAAATCATTGTTACAACTGACCAAATCATTCATATTTTGATCTGCCAATACGGTTTTCTAGAAAAACTTTACTCGCTCAACAATGCTAGTTTTTGGGCCGTATGTCGAAGCAACGAATGGTTTATTTTGGTAGCTCGTATTTCGAAAACATTCGTATGTAGGTCACTTGAAGTCGGGGTACCACTGGTATTATTCTGTTTGTTATAAAGATATCATATTACTTTATTGTGTGGTTTAAAACTTCATAACTTTTATATTATTTTGATGGTACTTGGTCAAGTAATATATCTGATTCGAATCCTAGTTTACTAACAATAATTTTTAATTAAACAAATTATTTGTTAAATATTTACAGACTTTGCATTGTTTGAAAGTGATATAATTTCAATTGAGGTAAGATAAAAGCATTTGTATGGTGCTACATTTATATATTATACGTTCTATATTTTATATTATATTCTATTTCTATTGGAGCTCGTTCTATTCATTTTCGCTCTTTTCAATCGACGCCAAACGTAGGTTTTATATAGGTTCGTTGTATTTGTTCTTCTGTTTTTTTCTATATGTATTTGTGAAAACTCACAATCAGATACAATGTCCCAATGGTTTGGAGAATAATGCACACAATGATGATACCACAGCCTTAAGAAAGAACATACAATAAACACAATGTATTATATTGAAAGTATTTTTATTATAATACATTACCGGCACTGCGTTGTGTTTTGGAGGCCTTTGCACGTTCTTATTGGATCGAGCAGTGAATAGTATTTACAGGAACTTGTACTGAATTGATTTTGAATATATTTTGCTATTAATTGACATAATAATAAACTTGTACTGAATTGATTTTGAATATATTTTGCTATTAATTGACATAATAATAAAATCATTTGATACTAACAAACTTGCATAAAAGGATTTTTATTGAAAAGCAATCATAAAAAGGATTTTTATTGAAAAGCAATCATAATAAATATAATTCAGAGCTTATAAATTCATTTTATTAGATAAAATGCAATTTTGACAAAAATAACAGTAAGAATTCATTCAAATCAAACTGAAGTTAACAAAAACATATTTTTTGAGCATGTTTTAACTTGCTCTGTAGAAGTACAGAGAATGAAATGTTTTCTTTCACTATTTTTAATATATTTTTATAATTTTTCAATTAATTTTAGTTGTTTATTTACTTTCTTGAAACTAAATCTTCATGTAACAAGTTGTCAATTGGCTTCATATAATAATTTAAGCAAGTTTGTAGCTTAATTTGACCTTGTTTTCAAATTCATTATGAGTATTGGTCTATGTATTTGTCAGTTTATCTCTGTACCTCTGTTGACCTGTCTACCTGTCTACCTGTCCACCTATTGCTTTGTCTATTTGGACAGGAGTCTATCTGCCTGTCTATCTTTTCCTGTTCTATTATTCTACCTTTTAGCCTGTTTACCTCTAACGTTTTGTACTTTCTACTTGTATGAAAATATGAAGAGAAAATTTAATTACTTCTTTCCCCTATTATTGTTATAAAATTTTATCATTGATATATACGCGATTAAAACACTTATATTTTTAAGAAACTTGAAAAATTAACAGGAAACTTATATGAAAACGCTTATCAAAGTACATACATATCCTTTTATTCGCAAATTTTCTGCAG